ATGCCGACGCCGCCTTGCAGGTGGCATTGGGATTTAACTGTCGATGTTTTTCTGCTTTAATTTTTGTTTTTCTCTTTTTTTTTCCTCATTCGAAAATTGTTTGCAAATCAAAAGCGAATCAATCATTAATTACGAATATAAATCGTTTTTAGTATCTTGGCTAACAAGTTGCTTTCAATGGAAAATTGAAAGCAAGAAAAAGTTGAACTAATTACGAATGTTGAATTGTGGAGATCAGGTGGAAATTATTGCATAAGGATTACAAATAGGAAAATTAGTCAAGGTACGACTTGAAATTATTGTAATTTCGTAGTAATTTTAGCTAAAAATTAAAAACTATACATTTTATATATTATTTATTGTATTATTTATATTATTTCTACGAGCATTTCATATTTCATACTATATTCTTATGGAAAATTCAATAATAAATTTTCTAATTAAGGTAAATTAACCTTCCACTTGCTCATTACTGTTAATTAAAATATATTTAATACCAAATCAATACAAAATCCTCAATAATTTCCTTGCTCTCTCCTTTATATACATTTCCTTTTTCCTTTAAAAAAAATCTCTTTGAACCTCTTTTTAAAATTCCCAATTCGTTTCGAATCTCTTTCCAAACTAAACTAACCAAGTGAAATGACTGACAAGTGTATGGCAGTGAAATTTCCATAGATCTTCGGGTGTTTTTTGTGTTTAAATCCAAATGGTGATCCAATGGTGTGAAATTCCAAACTCGCCACTCTTGTGGCCACTTCTTGCCGCATCAATCAACGGCGGCAGCTTAAATGCTGCATCATGACAAAACCATTACACTTGACCAGGCTCAAAGAGAGGCTCCGGAGTGTCGGCAGATGCTCAGATGACTGGGCTTCTTGGCCGTGATTGATTGATTGGCAGCGTGAGGTGAACTTGGCCAACCCGGCTGATGCTTTTGTCTAAAAGCCGTTTAGAATAACACCGAGGGAACCGCAGCTAAAGACTCGGGTAACTCTCCTGGACTCTCCAGGCCAGCAGCTAGAAATTATGCATTGTATTGCTAGAGAAACCCCAAAACGAAGTAGAAGTAGAAAAAAAACTAAGGAGAAATAATGTTTAATCTGTGCAATGTGCACCCTCACCTGGGCCCACATCTTGAATGTTCTTTTCTACACTTGAAGAAATTTTTTGTGGCATTAAAAATAATATTTTTTCCTTAGAAAGGAGTTTAAATTGGTGCCGTAAATGTTATTTGATGGTAAATAAATTTACAAGTAATTTTGTCATATTTATAATAAAATTACTATGTATTACTGTAATATATAATATATATATTATAATAAAATTAATTTTCTTAAATGAATTTAAAGAATATTTTATTAAAACTAACTAAGGAATCAATTAAATAAATAAACAATATTAATAGATTAATAAAATGGTGACTTAAGCTTTAAGACATCTTCTTTTCAAATATAATTCCTAAAAACTCGACCAAGTTCGTTGCCTAAGTCTTTTGTATTTCAATTTTAAACCCTATAAAAATCTTGTTATTTTTGTCTCCAAAATATTCCCAAAAATAATAACAACAATATTTAGTTTCCAACTTCAAACTCTATAAAAATCTTGTTATTTTAATATCCAAAAATACCCCAAAAATTATAGCAACAATCTTTTGTTTTCAACTTCAAACTCTTAAGAAAATCTTGTTATTTCTCGCTCCAAAATTAGCCAGAAAATTATCACAACAATTTAATCAAACTATAACTATATGTTGTGATCCTTTTTGACCACATTCTTGACATTCCTTAAGCATTTCCAACAAAGTTTCCCATAAAATCACACCAAATATTTGAAACACCTTTCCCACTTTTCTCCTGGTGTAAACGACAAGTCTTTAAGCATTTTTCTGGAGGATCTGTGAGCAGCCGCTGGCCAGCCAGTTGATTGCGCCTTCATTATTATGCCAAACTGTGCGCCGGCATTCGTTGAATTTGGCTTTTGCAATTTGCTCTCAATGCCCGGCCGGCCCAAAAAGCCAATCCAGGAGACTCCATCGTTTTGGGGGCATTAAAAATGAGCTCAACGTAACAGGTGGATGCCGATGCCAACGATGCCGACGATGCTCGACGTGATTTTCGCCAAATCGTTTAGATTATTTCGAGATTGCTTGCGCCAGTCGCTCCGCCACAAGACTTGGCACTCCTTCACTTCACTTCACTTCAGTTGAGTTGAGTTTGGCTTTGGCTCAGTCCGCACCTTGCATTTGAACTTGAAACATTTCATTTTTTTTTTGTTGTTTCTGCTTTTAGCTGGGGGCATCCAGCATCCAGCATCCAAGATCCAGCATCCAGTTCCTTGGTCCGATCGATTAGTGGCATTCTATTGCGTTCAATTTTCCATGTGCAACATTGAAGCCGATCGTCGAACGCTGCCTATATCGCCGCTGGCACAATAAACACGCGATTTATTTCATGCCAGGCATTCAAGTGCCGCCTCAGTCGGTCAAAGCCAAGGAGGAGCATCAGCCAGAGTTCCAGGTTCCAGCCTGGGTTCCAGGTTCCAGCCTGATTCCAGCCCAATCCAATCCTTGCTCTGGACTTGGGTTCGGGGTATCCGACTTACCTTGGCTCGGCCTGTGGTATGTGATAATGGGATGATGGTATGATGATGCATGCCCAGCATACACAACAACAGCAAGTAGTCAGAGTTAATTCATAATAGAGAATATTGAATGCTCTATAGGAAATAATATTAAATAAGAAACTTAACTTGTATAAAGAAATATATTTTTTAAGGAATAAATGTTGAAATATTAAAGGTTTTTACAACATATATAGAACGCAAGGTAAAGATTATGATTGTAGGAAATCAAGCTTGACATATATTTTGGTTCAGATGAATTTAAAAAGTTTACTTATAAAATTGTTACTGTTACTTTTAGGATATTATAATAATTTAACTTTTATGTATAAATTATGTACTGTAATTGTTAGGTTATTGAAACATTTATATAGTACAAAATAATACCAATGATAGTAATATTGTTTCATTATTATAATTTTTAAATAACCATTTAGTTTGTCCAAAAAGAACCTTTCGAGATATTTAATATTAAAATATACTTCCTTTACTTTATTTTCAATAACAGTTTCTTGAATCGTTTCTTATATTTTGTATTTTTAGAAATTTGAATTTATTTAAAATAAATATTTTAAATTTAATAACAATGATATAATTAATTAATTACACCTTATGTTGTTTTTTTTTAAGTGTATTTTAGGAATTTAAATTATTTTAAAATAAATTTTTGAAATTGAATAACAAGGATATAACTATTAATTACAATTTATGTTGTTTTGTTTTTTAAAATGTGTATTTTAAGGAATTTAAATTCATTTAAAATAAATATTTACAATTTAATAACAAGGATATAACTATTAAATACACCTCATGTTGCACCAAGTTCGTTGCCTAAGTCTTTCGTTTTAAGCCATAGCAGGAATTATTTAAGTATCTATAAAAAATTATTTAAACTACATGAAACGTATTTTTTTTCTGTTTTCTCTTTAAGTAGAAATTAAATTTTATATAAACAGAGACACCTTATAAAATTATTTAACATTTACAGTATAATTCGATAAAAACTCACACCCTTTTCCTAATAATCCACATAACCCTCCCTTTTTTTTCAGGGTATTCACAACAGTAATAATAGCTGCCCACTATTCGATATTTTCTTTTCTTTTTTCTTATATTTTTTTGTTTTCTTTCAAGCTTTAACTAGCGACCAAGGTTAGTCGCTTTTGCTGGCAAGTTGCTGCAACTATCGGCCGTAGAGGGGGGCTTACTCTGGCGCATTTTAGCCGGTAATTGCTTGTGATGTATGATTTTGAGTTCTAGTTTTCCTGGCCTGGGAATATTTCTGAGGGGCCGGCTGTGGCTTTTGTTGTTCGCCTGATTGCTGGCGATGCCTATATATGCGGGTGATGTATGTTATATAGCCGAAGCCACAGGTATAAGCTATAGTCATAGATATTGATTTGACAGGCTCTGAGCGATGACGATGATGGGGATGATGATGATGCTTCTACTTCTGATGATGATGATGATGGGAGAGCATCAACTGTCACACTTTCCAAGTCCAAGGAGAGCACTTTCACCCAATTAGGGTATCAGTTGGGTTTAATATGCAAAGTAATCTCTATAAGTTGGTCTTTATTTCCCTTCTACCCTTTTCCCCTTCCGATGACAATCTTTTGTTTTCACTTCTGCAGAAACAAAAGCCATAAAGGATAAATTGTGAGCTGGTAGCCGCGCATTGAACTCTTGGCTTCGACAAGTGCACAGCGGGGGTTCTCAAGATCCCAGATATCCTACGCCCAAAAAATCCATAAAAAAGAGCAAAGAAATATACTATAAAGGCCTGCAATTTTGTTTTCATTGTGAGCTAAATGGAATTTGACCAAAGCGATCCATATCGCCATATTGTTTGCCTTAACAATTGGGCCAAGTTTTCGTTTCCAGCTTCTATCGTTTACCCCTCCCGAAAAAAAAATGATTGATTGCGGGTTGAGGGGAATCTGCGGGAGAACAAACAATTTCAATTTCTCCTCCCACCTGGCTGGCTTTTTCTTTACTTTTGTCTGTGCTTTTCATGCCATTTCGATACGGGCCTCATTTTTCTTGCCACAATTAAGAAGAAAGTTGGCAGCAATTAGAAAACGCACATCGATCAAAAATTGCCTCCCAAAGACATCGAACGTCATGTTCCCAAGTGCCGTGTTTGTTCAAGACAAAAACATATTTCAACCTGCAGTCAAGAGAGTGTGTAGAGCCCGGATATTAGGCTCTGGGGTCAAAAAACCACTCAAGATAGACAATTTTTTAAAATATTTCAATTGTTTTACGGCTTAAAAGGAATAGATTTTGTCAGAGTTTAAGGTTTTTTCTTATTATAAAACTCCCAAACTCTTTATTATATAATTATTTTAAAAAATCCATCGCGATTTCCTAGAGTTTTCTTTCAACTTCCAAATTCCAGGCACAAAATCTCTCTCTTTTTAACACAAATCCTCATCATGTCAGAAAGACTTCCTAAAATCGAAGTTCCCCGGGACTTGAGTATTGCCCAGGAGGTGCGTCGCGAGATTAATCGCAATTCCGCCGAGATTAGTTTAAACTTTTGGCAGGAATTTGAGAAAATAAGGGCCACCCAACGTAATCGCATGGTTGGAGAAAGAATTCGACGGGAAAGGATCAACAATTTGATGCGTGATGGACAAAAGGAGGCAACCAAGGAGGCAGAGGCCTTAAGTCGATCGATTAGTGCCCAGGGAATGATCACTTTACCCGAGGCTTCGGCAGCTGATCCACCACCTTCGCCCCTGATGAACGCCATAGTTGAGGGGATCAAGACTTTAACAACTCAGCCAAAAACTGGCACTAAGATATTAAAAATTTCAAAGGAAGAGCTAAAGACAAAGTCGGAGGCTGACACTGAACCCGAGAAGTCACTAAAGGATCCTTCAAATAAACCAAGTACCTCAGCAGTGGGAAGGTTATCCGTTAACACAGCTTCCTCCAAGAAGAGCACTCCAAACACCTCAAAAATGCGTTTAAACAAAAAGACTAAGAAGTAATTTAAATTTCATTGAGACAAGAATAGATTCTGTTCTGAATTTAGTTAATAAAATTCATTAAATGTATGAAATTATTCAGCAATTTATGCTAAAAATAATAATTAATGTGTTTGTTAATTTTTAACACAGATATATCAATTTTCTGTTAAGAATCTCTTCAACCTCATTATAAAAATAATTATTTCCCCTTCAAAAGAATGCAATTATAAGCATATTTTTTAAAGTAACAGAAAGAAAGTTAAACCAAAAATGCTACAGGCATCCCTGATTCATGGATGATTCATGGCCATCTCATTATGTTTTCGATGATGACTTCTTCGCGTAATCTGCTTCCCGCATAAACCCATTTCCAATCGCCTGACGAATGCCACCCGGTGTGCACTTTGCACCACAAATTCCAGCTAAAATAAATACAACAAAATATATATTAAAAAAACGATCAGTAAAAAAAGCAGAGAAAACATCAACAAAAAAGACGAAGGGGACTTTGCAAATTAATTAACGGTACAACGGAGCCCCCAAAAGGCCAGACACGCACCTTCCAGACACCTGAGTAATCAGCATTATGTGGGCCTGGCCATCGATGGTGATGGTGCTGGCATAAATCACGAATAAAAAACAAAAAAAAAAGCAAGAAAAAAATTATAAACAATCAACGCAAATGTAACGTTATTCATCACAGGTGGTAAATATTTCAAACTTGAAACTGACAACAAACGTGCGCCGAAGTTCCAAAATACAAAAATAAAATGTTCATTGTTCTTTCGCTTTCTCAGTTCTCAGATTTCCGAAACTCTTCGCTCCGGTTTTTGTAAAGATTCTGGGTCAGAATAATTAATTAAAAGCGGCTCATGACTTGGCCAAAAAGAAAACAAAGGTATCACGCAAAAATAAGATCATAATAAAATCATTTTCAACTTGATTTTGACAGGTCCCCAGAGAGGCTTTATTACAAGGTATATCATATAATCAATTGCTTTGATTTAAAGCAGAGATTTAAACATTATTTTTTGTTGTGAAAAATGTCTAGTCAATATTTTATTATATTTTTTGTAAACCTTAAAAATGAGTTGATTGATTATAATAATATATATACTTTTCTAAGCCTTAAAAATGAGTTAATTGATTATTATAATTCATAAAAATATAGAAAAGGATTTATATTTAATGTTAAAATGGACCAAAATGATGTTCTTTGTCAACTTGCTATATTTATTTATATTTTTAATCATTAAATATACTTCTAAAAGATATTTTAGTTAATTCCCTTGTAATTCCCCTATGCAAACCCATTAAAAATCTCAATATACGAAACATTTCCTTAGCCTGAAACTCGACCATTTTGTCGACGCTTTGGCGCATGCGCACCAATAATCAATCAAAACGTCTTAAACAAATCACTCGGGAAAGCATGTGCAACTACCCAAAAATACAAAAAATCAACAGTACAGAGACAAAAAATCAAAATAAAGGAAAAAGAAATTACACAGCCGACGACTGACTGACAAACTGACTGACTGGCAAGTTTGGCAACTCCAAAAAAGAGGGAAAAAAAACCTCTGGAACCCCGGACTCTGGAAAACTGTGATGGACAACAGTCACGATTTGCTTGTGCGACAACTGTTGCCAGACCAGCAGTAGTTACAACCATCGGTGGGGCACATAGAACTGTCATTGACACGAGGGGAGAATCGAGGAGAATGTTAAAGCCGGAGATCGGAGACCGGAGACCGTAGACCGGAGACTGAAGACCGGAGATCGGTGACTGGGAGACTGGGAGACACCTGTTGGCAGCCACAGAAGTTGAAAGGCAAAAAGGCAAACACCCTCGCACAGTGGTTCAAAAACCCACACACAAACAACACAACTAAATCAAATAATGAGTGCCTTATATGACAGGTTTTATGATGTCAAGAAAATAAAAAAAACGGTGGGATATATTTACGACCTACTAATTCCAGTAATTTGTTAAAGAAATCATGAAGAAAATTAAAAAAACTGTCACATATATTTCTTAAAAATTTTTAAAGCTATTTATATTCTATAGATTCTTATTTTATTTCTAACTTACAGCCAATTTAATTTGTGTCTCACATTAAAAGTAAACCTCTTAAATATATTTATTTAAAATTCTCAATCTTTTATCTCACACATTCCTCTACATTTTCATAGCTTTGCGAAATTTTTGTAAACCAAAATAATTGCCAAACCATTTATGGGGTTTTTTTTTTATGGAACAATAATTTCAAAACCAAACCATTTTCCATTAAGCAAAATGTAAACATTTAATAACCAAACTAAACAATTAACCGCCGGCTAAAGGTAATTATTGCAACCATGCAAAAAAATAAAAGAAATAAAAGCCACCCCCAAGTCACTGTAACAGAGGTCCGCTTTTGCCATTGGATCCGCTGGGATCGTTGGTGGGTGCGGCGGTTTCAGTAGCCACCACAACCACCACCACCACCAACAGCTGGACCCCCTGAACCGGCGACCTCCAGCCACCCACCGATTCCCCCCCTCTTTTTTGAGCCACTGAAATGGCAAACTCAGAGGCCAATTACCGCAAACAAATTCGAATGCGAATGCGCATTGAAATTGTGGCAAGGTTGGTAATTTAAGACTCACGCCGTCTTAAAAAAATATATATATACAAAATAAAGGAGCTCGGGGAGCAGAGACAGAAAGAGATTCCCGCGAGAGAAACCAAAGTGAGAACCGTTTCTTTGTCGCACCATTTTGGAGGTGCACGGAGAAAAATAAATACATAATAAATTTAAGTTGATATATTTTAATAGAACTATTCAAAGTTTTTGTAAAGAATCTAAATTTATCCAACTATTTGGAAGTAAGGTCATACTGCATGATTTTATCACATAGAAAAAGATTTAAGAGAAAGGAGATTAAAATAAAATAATGGTAAGTATTGTCAAACTGTTCTATTATTTTATCAAAAATAAGTTTTTATTTGATTTACGATGCATTAAATTAGCAAATGCGTAGCTATGAAAAAAGTAACCTAATTTTAACTTCCTTTCTAAAAGTAAGGTCACACTGCCATGATTTGTTCTTAAAAAATACTATTTCAACTTCTATGAAGTATTTATATTTTATATTTTAACAGGGAAATATAGTAAACAAGACTCTAAGCCTTAAGTTTTAAATTGTATAAATCCAAATATATTATATTATATTTAAGCATTATTTTTAATCGTCAAAATAATTAAAAATACTACATTTTCCCTCATTTTCTCATTGTGCAAATCCGCTTCTGATTCGAGGTGATTGAATTGCTGATTTAACGGTTTCTGTTGTCAAATTAATGACATTCATTCATTCCATGTGGTCGAGTCAGAGTCTGAGTTTCAGCCAACAGTTTGAGCCTGAGTTTAAGTTGAGCAAACGTGGCCAAAAACGGTAGTTTTTTCTGTACTTTTTTTTATTGCAACTCTGGCAAATTGCAGCGCGTGTTATTATTGTTGTTATTGCTGTTGCTGCCGTTGTCATTGCTGTTATTAATGTAGTTATTAAATATTTACAACTGCCGCCGCACAAAGCGTGCCTCAAAGGAGACAAACAGAGAGAAAAAACCAAGCTAAGAAAAGCCCATTTGGGAGTGGGCCAGGTTCACAGTTGGGTGTCAAAGTGCAAAAGTTTAGCGCAAAGTTCTTGTCATTATTTGTTCGCCGCTTGTCGATCGGATTCTGTTTCTGTTTCTGTTTCCTTGTAAAGTGAAAGGCAAAAATCTATTCTCAGCCGCCTTGAGTCTTAAAGGCTTAATTAATGGCTCTTTTATATAATTTAATTAGTTGTTAATGATTTGCTGATTGGACTGGAGCGGGTGACTTGGCCCCCCCATGAATCAAATGCTAAACTAGTCTAGATTTTGCAGAAGGGGCTTGGCAGATGTCAGGGTTGCCCCACAAAAAAAAAAGAAGTGGCTAATGGACTTAATGGCCAAATCATGGCAGTTAGTTATCCAGTGATATCTGCTAATGGTATGGGATTTAATAGCCAAAATGTGGGTTATGCTACCAAGAATGGTCAAGTTTTTCTTTTTTGAGAAAGAGATTAATTTACAGAGGCTGCAAGTTATAAAGGAATTAAATGTGTTAAAAGAACTCAAGGCTTATCAAAAGATATTTTTAATAAGGTAAATTAATGCCTTCAGATAAATTTATAAATATTTAAATACATAACATTGTTTTTAAAATATTAACTTTTTTATTCTCAATATCAAGATCATATTTAAATCTTGGAAAATCATTTCTAAACTCCTTATTTTACTTAAAAACTAATCTAAATATATTATCAATCAACAAATATTGGGTAGTTTACCCCGAAAAAAAATCCAAAAATAATTGTATTTGTACAAATACTTAATCATATTTGATCGCTTTAATTTGCATATGCCTTTTTGAGTTGCCACCAAAAATATACTAACTCCTTACCCCCAAATAAAAATATACATATATATAAAAACTATGTTAAGTTGAGGCCAAATCGAACATGGCAGCTGAGACAAAATGCTTGTTGTCGATTTTCGTTCGATTTTTTGAACAAAATCCCGGCAACTAAGTAAAAAAAAAAACAAACTTGGCTGCGTGAATTGCGCATTCAACATGCGTATGCCATGCGATAAATAATATTTGCAAAATTTGTATTTAAATTTGTCACAATTTTAGCAAGAAAAAAAGAGGAGAGTAGAGGTGGTAAGCCATTTGAAGGCTTTTCTATATAATATTTATCGGAAAAGCGATTTCCTTGCCAATTAGTCAAGGCTTATGGGGGCGTTAAGCGAGTGCTTAACTCTCTGCCAATGGAAAATTGCCGCCAGATGGGCATAAATAGATATGGCGACACATGGGCACCATGGAAAAGATAAGACCACTGAAAATACCAAACGGCTTAAGCGGCAGCGACCTGTCAATATGCCATTTGATTGATTTCGATACTGATTTCCCTATATATATTTTTCGAAAGCCAGATGCAAAACAGTGTATTAAAAACGCAATCGAAACTCAAGTGCTCCACATT